GCATAAACAATAACACGCAAAACCGAGGGGGGCGACACATCTAAAATGGCATGTAGATAGTAAACAATATTTATCTCTTATTTTGGATCAGTGTATTTCTATCAGATTTCACTCTCTAGTAGGGGAAACGCTCCTATAGTTGCGGTACGTTAGAAGCGTTAGGTTCCTATAGTTGTGCATGGAGACTCAATACACAACTATAGGAACCTAACGCTTCTAACGTACCGCAACTATAGGAGCGTTTCCCCTATTTGCTGCATCTACTTTTTCGTTGCTGCAGAAGATGTACACAATTGAAGTAGATTTTCAGGTAGATGGCAACACAGCAATAACAAACTTATCGAGTAAAAATTATTCTGAGTTTGAACACAGTGTGCGTTGATTAATTTATCAGCCGTTTTTACAACCCGTCATTCACTCTATTACGCAAAGTTAGCGATAATCCTCATAACGAAGCCTTTTCCAGAAGTTGTTAACAAAAAACCCCGGCAGCAGTGTATACAAAAGTGTAAGTGCTGCGAAGTACATCATATAGGTGAACATCATTGGCCGACGATAAAGAAGTGATTGCCCAATTACACGGCACATTTCAAGATCGAGAGAAACTGGCTTGAAGCTGCTGAGAACTCTGTAAGGTTTCCGAAATGCTCTAGAACTTCAGCAGGACGGTACCTATTTTCTAGCCGGCGCCGGTGGTGTAGTGGTAAGCGTGACTGCTTTCTAACACCCCAATGGGTCTGGGTTCAATCCCAGTCGAGGTCGGTGGGATTTTTCTGAGGCATAAAAATCTCTGGTCACGTCTTCGTTCGGAAGGGAAGTAAAGCCGTTGGTCCCGGCCCATGTGTGTTGAATGGGTGCGATATCCTGCGCAGGTGTGGAAGTTGCCTTCCTGCACATTCGATTGTCGTCAATGGATGACAATCGATGTCCGTCGGTGATTGGCACTAGATTGCGGAATAGAGACCGACGTTAAATAAAGGAAAGAAAAAAAAGAAAGGTACCTATTTTCTAAGAACCACATCCGGTGATGTAATCCAGAAATGAAGCACGACTTCACGTCCTGCAGTCAGTTTTCAGGCTGCTGTGGAGCAAATGCAAAAGGTATTGTAGGTATTGGTTTAACAAAACCATGGGTAGGTAAAACTGCTTACAATACAGCCTGTATTACGATAGTATGAACATTCAAATTTCTTTAGATCAATTTGCAAAGTGAAATACGCGGAAATACCCTCCCGCTAACATCTGCTTCGAAGAACAAGCTCAAAAGCTCCTTAACTGATCGCCATCATACCAACGTAAAACCATTACCAGCAGATCATCCACACCGTTCGTACCTGACACCGCTTCGGTTTACCTCGTACGCCTCCATCGTCACTGTCGAGTGATGAATTCTAATGCATCGCACGTTACCCCTGCCCCCACACCCATGATCTCACCTATTGGACCTACAAGCAGCAGCACCGGAACTACGCCCGACAGCCAGCGGACGTCAGTGCACCATGCAAACGGGATATTCGTATTTATACAATCGTGTGGATTGTCGATGATAACAGGAGGCAACCGATCCACTCACAAAAGGACTATGTTACAGATAATATAGGATAATATATAACAAACAAATAAAAACAAATAAAAAAAAATTGACTTTCAGTCGCTAACCTAAATAGGTTAATATATTATGAGAGTTTATGAATTTCATTGATCAGTGGTGTTACGAGCAACGTGTACTTTGTAGCCGAGGCAGCTATGCACTGGACTTGCATCTTGCATCACAGTCCTACACAGTACAGGCTACACCATACAAATCATTATCTCGGAATTCTGCTTCTACCGTACCTAGATTAAAAATCAGTTGAATGATTGTACAATTTTAACCTGTTTTAACAATTTTTTTATTTGTTAACATCAAAAGGTACAATAATGTCCCAATGATGGTTTAAGTAACATGAAAGGTGAGGTCAAACAATAAAATACATACATTATTATTTTATCTGCTTGCCACAGCGATAACATAAGGTGACGAACAAGTAAAAAACGTCCGGTGCATGGGAATGGCTTCCGGAGTACACGACGGATCTGAAGATTGACCAGACCCTGCTTGCCGAACAGTGCAGAGTCAATGTTTCAAGTATTCGAGTTACGAGGAATTACGTAATAAACTGACCCTTCCAGAGAGAGATGACCGTTGAAGCATGCAGTAGATTTGCTAAAATAGTAATGGAAGGAAATACTTAAACACGTAGTAGAATGTAGAAATTTATTCCTCTTAGATGAAATGTATGCCCGGAATTTAGCTGCTGATTGGAACAAGCATCCCTATTCTGTGAGTCACTAGTGAGGTGAGAAAAATCACGTCGTGTGAAGTGACCCTCCATTTGATTTGGACAGAGAGTCACCTCACACGGCGTAACTTTTGCCACCTCAATAGGGATGTTCTGATCAGGTCATTGAACGGATGATTTCTCTTGTTATAACTCATCACTGAGAAAATAAATTCCTTAGGACAAAAAAAAGTTCGAAGCTCAATCTAAAAATCTCGTTTATAAAGATTAAAAAAATACTTTCTTAGAACTGGAAATTGCTTGTCTTAATCAATTCATTTTGCTAGTATGTTCAACAGCGATTGGGTATAAAATGTTGTAGTGATCCGATGGTGATACAGATGAGTGTCCTGATGTGGCTGATACGAGTGTTAACATTTTGAGCGTCCAAATCGACTGGTTGAATACTCTTGTTGGATTGGAGGCGAACCAGCCCAAGGCTGAAAGCCTCCCTAATAAAGATAAATAATAATAATAATACTCTTGTTGGATGTCTTATTCACGGCCAGTTGAAACCGGTTATCGGCTTTTCGGCAATTGATTGGCAATTGGGAAAGATTTTTTTCTAGAAAATAAATAGGTCGAACTCAAACATTGATGTATGTGGCAGTTTCATTGGATCTTACAATTTTTCTCCGAGTATCAATCTCACAATCTTTTGCAACTTCAACTGATGCTTCTAAGCGACCATTAATTCGATGTAGAAATGTTTTCTTTACCTTTTCTGTTAAACACTTTTTCACAACACTATTATCGAGCCGCAGTAATATGTAAACAAATAACATTGCTGACGTTTGCTGTTTTTTGTTCGACGGTCTCTGTGATTACTTCGATGACGATGCGAGTGATGTTACAAAAGATGCTAGATTCGAGAGTAGATGGAAGTAGATGGCACAGATATAAACAGATAGCGTGCGGTAAATAAATATATGAAGATATGTGTGATTAATGATGAAAAGAAGATAATCCAGATGTGTCGCCCCCCTCGCGCAAAACCTATGACAACAACCGCACGAAATGAAAAGTTTCGCATATTGAGCTGCCACCTAGCGTAGTTTTTTATAGCGCATTGGCTTTGTGGTGAATATAAAATCAGACAAAATAATATTAATAATCAACTCGAGTTTGGATACGGTTTGCTCGGGAGCTGTGGGGGTGGATTTGCTCGGGAATGGGTGGCATTCTGCTCGAGTTTGGGTGGGTGTCACTCGTGTTTTTGTGGATTTTCCAGAAAATCTACAGGAGTACTGGTGACATTTGTATGGATCCATATTTTACAACTTTTGGTTTTGAGTGGCAGACAAGTAATGACTTCCGAACGGTGAAGGTTTACGATTATGTTAGACAGTATCAGGGTTGTTAATCGATAACTTGATAACATCTGCAATGGGAAATCTGCATAGCAGGCGTAAATCAGAAGACGTCGATTAACAACCTTGGACAGTAGGTATGCTAGTAGATCACGAAGCCGGTCGCGCGATTAAACAAATCCAACTTTGCTGTTGTTGTTGGTTTGTTGATGTTGGTTTCTAGGTAATACATGTTTAGCGTGAATGGTGAGTTTTGGTTTCACAGTGAAAGGCTGTGGTATGTGTCAGTGTCATAGGTAATTTCGAAATGTTTCACCTACACGGAAAAACGAGTCTATGCATTAATGACTTTTTTTAACCACTTTTAGAAGTTGTTCGAGCTGTCATAAAGTGGTTAAAATCTATAGCAGGAAAGTGTATACAATTTCGACATTTTCTGAGAAAACCATTCTTCAACAGGTGTCTTAATTTTATTCACTAGTGGCTAAAAAAAACACTTGTCAATTTATTTTCTGCAAGCATGGCGGTTATCATTGACAAACTTCGTCACAGGTTAGTTCAATGGTAAAATACATGTATAGTAATTATAGACAAATAATGTTAATAAACAATTTAGAATTATAATTTTCTTTCTATTTACAGCATTTTCATGGTGCGGTAGCCCACCAACAACAATTATAAACGTAAGCATTTCCCTTTTGTTTTGTATTTTACTATGTAGATAATGAAAATGTCGCAATCAGCAGTTCACCAGTTCCTTACGGACAAGTGCAGGTCGTGCCGGCGATTGACACCAAGAACTACATCGAGTACACGAAGAATACGAAGTTTATCGGTTGGTTCCGGAGATGCTCCGCTGTCAATCAATCGACTTGTTGGACCGGAAGATGATGGCGAAAGGTAAGATGGTAGGTATATCTATAGATTGTTCAAGTCCTGTAAATAATCCAACCTCTTCCACAGCAGCCCGCAGACGCCTCCGGAATCACACAACCAACGAGATACATCCTCATCGCAATCGATGAATCAGCTCTTACAACACAGGTTAACACACAAAAACAACAAAAAAAACACACAAAACATTCCAGTGTATAAGTACTAACCACTTTCGAGAAAAACGTCTTTATTCATTAATGATTAAAATATAACCATTACCAAGAAAAACGCGTTTATTCATCCGATGAGTAAACAGCGTTTATTCATTTTATGAATATGTGCGGGTTTTCTCGAAACTGTTTAAAATTTAAACATTATTGCATACTTTTTTCTTAGCGTGTATGAAACGCTTGGATTACTGCAGGGTGAACACGGAAAAACGAGTTTATGCATTGATGACTATTTTTTTAACCACTTTTGGGAGCTTGTTCGAGCTGTCATAGAGTGGTTGAAATTTATAGCAAAAAAGTGTATAGAATTTAGACACTTCCAGAGAAAACCATTTTTCAACACAAGTGTTTAAATTTTATTCACTATTGGTTGAAAAAAAACTTGGCAACAATCATTTTTAGAAAACGCGGCAGCCATCATTGATCAACTTTTTCGCAGGTAGATATATTGTTTATAGTATATTAGATACAATTTAATAGTAATTTATCATTCTCTTTTCATTTCTAGAGTTCGGTGAGAACTACCAGAAGAAGCCATCAACGTCGCCAGCAGTGGGAATCAGGAATTGCTACTTCCTTCGCAATCGAGTGGCGGACCGAAAATGAAGTTTTTTCCGTTTCCGACTTTGGAGAGATGGAAACAACTTTCAATGGAAAAGCAATCACTAAAATGACCTTTCCCAACATGATTTCCGGTTCATTACAGTCTTTCCCAAGCAGTAAGTACTACTGTAAATATTCTTCTTGCCATGGTATTAACACCACAATGCTTCGCTTATAGACTGAATCAGACTAAATCGTCCTCCTTCCAGCAGGCTGAAACGGCTTTACTACATCATCGACATGGCAAGGTATCATCGCAGATGGACCACTGGCGGAGCACCGACCGATACAATCAACAAGACTTCGTCTACACGCTAACTTGAAAGTACTCATTAATGAGTAAAAAAGACCCATTTTGAAGAAAAGTGGCTTAACTCATTAATGATTAAACAATTTTACCCATTAATGAGTATCTGTTACCCATTAATGATTAACAATTACTCATTAATGGGTAACAGATACTCATTAATGGGTAAAAAATTTACTCATTTAATGAGTTAAGCCACTTTTCTTCAAAATGGGTATTTTTCAACCATTAATGGGTACTTTCAAGTTAGCGTGTACACCCACCGCGGGTTTGGCTGACTGCGGGATCATCTGTGATACAGAGCATGATCTATTTCATCGATATACTGCAGAACGTCGTGGCGCAAATAGTTCCGGGCAATGGAAATCATGTGTGAGTATTGCCGTATGCCCACGATCATCATATTTTAATAATAATTGTGCACCTGATAACTGTGTTTATTCATCAAGAAATACACATAACTTTTTATTGGTTTTTTATTTTATTGCTATCATAATAAATTATTTTGAAAATATGAGAAATCAACCATTTAAAATCCTTCCGGTGTATAAAATTTAACCACTTTTGAGAAAAACATCTTTATTCATTAATGATTAAAATTTAATCACTTTCGAGAAAAACGCGTTTATTCATCCGATGAGTAAACAGCGTTTATTCATTTTATGAATATGTGCGGGTTTTCTCGAAACTGTTTAAAATTTAAACATTAATGCATACTTTTTTCTTAGCGTGAAAGGAGCCGTTTTAAATTGAACCAGTCAAGGCAGACTGATTAACAGTAAATCTAGATAAACAATTCAAAAGGTCCTATCTGCATTGACCGATTCTCTTCATCGACTTTCTCTTCCATTAATAACTCAACTTCAAAAGCATTCCCTGCTGTGTTCAACGTTCTAAGTACAAGATAAGAACTTCTGCTATCAAACTGTGTGGCAAAAATAGTACCAAATGCATTTGCGTAGGCGAGGATATCAAAAGAGAAAGTCGATGAAGAGAATCGATCAAAGCAGATAGGACCATTTGAAATGTTCATCGAGAAATATGTTTCATTGCTTTAGGCTCTGAACCATTTGGTGGATTATTTTAACTTTTGGTTAAAATTTGACAGATGAAAAGTTATCGATTAACCCTGCTATCCGAGCATGGTTATTTCTGACAGACAAGAAGTTAAATTTTGACAACCGTGGCTCGAAAACCGGTCGATCGACAGCACGGGGATTTTCGAACATAGAAAATAACTTTCGAAATGTCACTTTTAACCACGAGTTAAATTTAACTCGGCAAATGGTTCACAGCCTTAGCGGCTTTGGCCCATCTTTCGTGTGCGAGGTTGGGAAGTGTTGCCGATTTGTCTTTAAGTTCTATCAATGCTGGATTCAACCATTCAGTGCTAACATTTGAAAACGGCACAAAAGCCATTTGTAAACAAATGGTTTGTGGGCCCTTTACTCACTACTTGAAGTACACCCACGCGACACAACAGCAACATCGGGTAGGGGAAATTTTCCCCTTCCTGACGATGCTGTTGGTTTGCGTGGGCGTTCTTCGGGAAGCGAGTAAAGGGCCCACAAACCATTTGTTTACAAATGGCTTTTGCGCCGTTTTCAAATGTTAGCACTGCATTGACTTTCTTTCTATTTGGGAAAATACGCTGCATACACTAAATAAATAAAAACAACAGTTTATTTGTTCCGTTATCATATTCGTTTCTTTTTCATGACTTTTGTGTGATCTTATTTCTTTTTTTCTTCTCTCTTTTATTTATTTACATATATATATATAAATCTGTATATTTCCATATATTCCTATACATTTCCATATATTTCCAGAGAGCGAGATAAGGCGCTATAACCTTGGCATTAAATCTGGGTTGAGTTTGAAGTGGGCGGAACGACCGTTTGAGGGCAGTGGCTTTTGACGCGGGTTTCTTTGAATTTAGATGGTGCCCACGCGGACTGTCGGGGCCTTTCGAAAAAGAAAGTTTGCTCTATCAGATGCTGGTGTTATATTTCGTGGGTGTGTTTTTGATGGTTGAAGGGTTTGTGTTTGGAGCTGTCGTTTACGGATGGTTCTTCCGCTTGTTTTAAATGTTAACCCAGAAATAGCCTGGATTTTGGTTCAAATGCCAAAAGTTCATCCAAAGACACAGACAAATTTTATAGCAATTATGCTCCCAACGAAAACATATTCAAAAACATTCAATTGTAACTGGAAGCGTTTGGTACGGGAGGTCCACGCTTTCTTCCTTTCCCTTGATCTCAGGTTGTGGAGTGCTTTCAGATATTCATTTCTGACATCACTTGACTCCTTGAAATCCTCTCTGCGGCACATGCTGCGCAGTTGGCCTGGCCGTTGACAAGAAAAATGATGGATTCGTGAAGCCGTCATTTTCCAGGATGCTTTCAAAGTATTGGCTGCGTAAGTGTGAGATCAGATTAGATTAAATTAGATTAGAAGCTTGTGCCATCATCCACCAGATGGGATAGTATTTTTGTTTTGGTTAAGCACAAAGTTGATTTTGTGTACAATGATTCTTTGACAGTGTGCAAAGAGTGCGTATCATTTTGTAATTTTTTTATGCATTTCAGTTTTAAGTAGAGTGAAAGAGATATAACCAAAACATTCTAGTACATTTGGTGAAAATGCTAGTACAATACAGTAGTAGTGTTGCCATGTGGTTCAATCCAGTAGTAGTGGTGTTGCCATGTGGTACACTGAAAAATTGCAATAGCAGGTTAGTCACCAAAGTTTTCGAGCCGCTCCGTCTGTCACTTCGTTTGTGGTTCAACGCCGTTTTCTTCGATTCGCTCTGCCGAAGCTGCCTTGGAGAGACCCATTTCATCTGCCCAGCTATGAAAGTCGTTGCCAGCTGATTGATCTGGAGCCTCTCCGAACTAGAAGAGACACCTCTAGGGCCCTGTTCATTGCGGACACTTTACAAAGTAGAATTGATTGCAGTGCAATCTTGGGGCAAGTCAACATTAACGTCCAACCCCGTGCGCTACGTAACAACGTTATGCTGAGATTGCCACTTCAGCGCACAAACTATGGCGTGAACGGTGCAATAGGTCGGATGCAACGAGTGTTCAATCGAGTCTCGGGCATCTTCGATTTCCATATGCCTCGACAGCTGCTACGAAGATACTTCTCATCGTTCTTTTCTGGCACAGTTAACCGTGAATGATTGTGTGTTTTATATATGTATTCTTAGTTTTTATTTTTTGACTTCCCTATAAAAGTTACTTAAATCATCATTGGGGCTATACACAGCCTGTTGATGCAGACAAATAAATAAGAACGTCGTGATAATGAAAGAGCTGACTTGTTTCCTTCTGCCTCACCAATCACTTTGATCACAGCAATTGCGATTCTCCATCTGTTCGTTTAGCTGTGCGCATGTTTTCGGCGTTCCTTCGAATGTCGTGCACCATTTTCCCTTTCAATGTTACATCCGTTCATGTAATGTTGTTAGCAAAATCGGTGTATATCGCAAAGCGTAATATTACACAGCCTGCGGAATGTCCTACACACTTAGATTATTTTACAGGAGTCAGTATTGTTAACTGGGTTTTTGAATTGCTGAACCAATGAAATCGCCTGAAATGAAATCCTTCGGAAGGAAAGTGAAGCCGTCCCCGGTTCATGAGTTGATGAGTCGATAGATAGGGTCCAGGTTTGGGAGCTAGCACGCTGGCGTCGGTAGCATTGGTGCTCAGCACGCAAAACCAGATCGACGGAAAACAAATCAAAGGCAGAAAGAAAAAAAGAAATGAGATTAACAGAACTATATCTGTACAAGTTCGGCATAAGTTTCATATTTTTGAATTTTCTGCAGTGTTTTAAACTTTTATCGTACAGTCCGCAATTCAAAAACCAAGTAAAAACATTACTGACTGGATTAGTGTGTATACGTTATGTGCAGCTTATCTGTTGTAATATTCAACGAATTGGTTCGGTATTGGTGCTTAGTTGAAAGTTCATAATCGCATAAATTGTTTCGTCCACGTCTTTGGAGTCGTCAGCAACATCTCGAAGCACTGTCAATAGTTTTACGAATTTAATATCAAATGCAGCCGAGCAGACTCACGTATCCTAAAGGCAGTTCTCCACGAGTCTTATCAAATAACTATCCGTTAGAAAATCGAACCGTATTTGTACTTGAAGTCGACGATCAACCGAGCAAGGTCCAGCATTTCTCTTTCGGGGAGTAGCTAAAGGGTGATACGGTCAAAATTTGGTCAAGGGAAAACGCGTGTAAATCGGTGATATCGTTTATTTAAAAAATCAAATTAAATTTCTTTTTCAAGTTCAATTAGTATAAAATTCAGGAAAAATATTCAGTTAGGCTTCCGCTTTTCCAAATCCGAATTGCCGGGCCTTACGCTTGACCCCTGCCATCAGATTTTGTACAGCCACCTTGTCCACCTTCTTCGCCGCAGAAAGCCAGTTTGCCTTGAACTGCTGCTCGCCCTTAGCAGTTTTTTTGGTCTTCTTTAGGTTCCGCTTGACAATAGCCCAGTATTTCTCAATTGGGCGGAGCTCTGGCGTGTTGGGAGGGTTCTTGTCCTTGGGAACCACCTGCACGTTGTTGGCGGCGTACCACTCCATGGCCTTTTTACCGTAATGGCAAGATGCCAAATCCGGCCAAAACAGTACGGAACAACCGTGTTTCTTCAGGAAAGGCAGCAGACGTTTATTCAAACACTCTTTCACGTAAATTTCTTGGTTGACAGTCCCGGAAGCTATGAAAATGCTGCTTTTCAAGCCACAGGTACAGATGGCTTGCCAAACCAGATATTTCTTTGCGAACTTTGACAGTTTCATGTGCTTGAAAACATCTGCTACCTTTCCCCTTCCTTTTGCCGTATAAAACTCCTGTCCCGGAAGCTGCTTGTAGTCGGCTTTGACGTAGGTTTCGTCGTCCATTACCACGCAGTCAAACTTCGTCAGCATCGTCGTGTACAGCCTCCGGGATCGCGCTTTGGCCGTCGTATTTTGTTTATCATCGCGATTTGGAGTTACTACCTTCTTGTAAGTCGATAGTCCGGCTCGTTTTTTGGCTCGATACGCGGTTGTAGACGATACACCCAGCTTATTTGCGGCATCTCGGAGAGAGAGGTTAGGGTTTCGCTTGAAACTACCGGCAACTCTCTTTGTCGTCTCAGCGGCTTCCGGTTTTCGATTTCCCCCCGATCCAGACTTCCTGGCTGTCGACAAACGTTCCCCAAACACTTTAATTACATTTGTAACGGTTGATTTGGCAACTTTTAGCGATTTTGCCAACTTTACGTGCGAGTAGCTCGGATTTTCGCGATGCGCGAGCAAAATTTTGATACGCTGCTCTTCTTGCTTGGACGGCATTTTGACAACTGAAGAGTGAATTCCAAAATCCAAATAGGAGCAACATTCTACACACACACACCTTCAAAATGAGGGGTGTTCAGGTTTTTTAAATGCAAAATTGAAAGAAATACGTCAAGTTGATATTGACCAAATTTTGACCGTATCACCCTTTACACAGCAACCCGTATCCAAATGATCAAAAATCACAACCCGGAGTCCAGCAGCGATTGCTTCTTTTCGCATCCCTAATCGTCCAGAGTTAGCATTTTATTCCTCAGAAATCCATTGACCAATCCGACCAGTTCTGGACTGATTTCCTGCCCGGCCTTGGACATGGTCATCGCTAAGTTTATAACTATCGTTGAAATGTAATTCACAAAATTCCAACTGGAGCTTCCACAGCGGGAGCAAATCTGGGCTTGATTCCTGGGGCAGTATTTACTGAATTTGACCAACGATTTGCACAATTCAATGATCGGCTCGGCTACCTCCGAAGCCTGCTGCTTAATTTGATCCAAATGTATCCGCAGTTGAAGTGTGATGAATATAACGATTTCTACCAAAAGCTGATCCAGAGGTGATTTCCCACTGAGGATTTTCAATTTCTCTGATAGGGATTTCAGCGTTTTCATATCCAGAACAGAGCTGTTTTGAAAGTTGAGATACTTCCTCAAAATCCACACGGAACTTGCCGTTGGCTCAGATTCTATTCTTTCAAAAATAGGATAGAGAACTACTTCGGTCTAATCGCCCATTTTGGGCCTATCGAGCAGAAAACATCAAATAAATCCATGATTTCAGAGTTAACAAGTCAATTATGGGTTTGGTACGATACTTTAGTCAATTAGTGTTGGGAACATGGACATCCCTAACGATCACTACCAACACCAACACTGCTGAGCTCACTAGTAGCAGCTAAGCTGTCACCCGTAGATGCGCGAACCAGCATAAGAAAGAGGAACAACACATCAGATACGTTCGATATGTTGTATCGTGTGCGCTTCCCGCAAGTCAATGTATACTTTAAGTTCGTCATTTAAATAAAGTTTTATTTGCTAGTTTACATGATGTACACAGCCACACCGTTAGCGCGTTCGTAACAGTGGCGACGTCGGAAAAACGAAATTGTTTGAGAACATTTCACGCGAGTGAGCGAAAGTGTTTCGTTCACGAAAGAGGAGAAGAATTGCGGACGACAGTATGTTTTCACCTGGGAGTGAACCCCAGCAACAATCAGTGCCGGGAAATGGACTGCAGCAGGATCCAGCAGTACAAAACCAGCAACCGGGAGTGAACACCCAGCCGCAATTAAACCCAATCATCCGTCCGCCGATGCTCCAGCAAACACAACCTCACCTCCACCAGCAGCAGCAATAACAACAAAACATTCCATCGATAGATCCAGCGATGTTGCATTTTTTTCAGCAAATGCAGCAGCAGTTGCAACAGCAAATGCAACAACAAATGCAACAGCAGATGCAGCAACAGATGCAAATGCAGATGCAGCAGCAACAGGCGTTTTTGAAACAGCAGGAGCAGATGTTTCGGGCGGCGATGTCGGCTATCAACATTCAAGTGCCGACGAACCCTGAGCAAATTCTCGATTCGCTGGCGAGTAACATCCGCAAATTTCGGTACGAGCCGGATCAAAACGTCACGTTTGTTGCATGGTACGTACGTTATCAGGATTTATTCGCCAAAGACGCCGTTCGCCTCGACGATCAAGCCAAGGTGAGATTGCTGCTACGGAAGTTGGGTCTTTCAGAGCACGAGAGGTACACCAGTTACATCCTACCGAAAAGCCCCAACGAGGTGAAGTTCGACGACACGGTGAGTAAACTGAAAAGTTTGTTTGGTATGCCAGAGTCTGTGATTAGCAGACGGTACCGGTGCTTGCAAGTCACAAAGCAAGTCACTGAGGACTACAAAACGTTCACCTGCCGGGTGAACAAACTGTGTGTCGAATTCGAACTTGGGAAGCTTTCGGAGGACCAGTTCAAATGTCTCGTGTTCGTCTGCGAGCTGAAAGCGGAAAGCGATGCGGAGGTCAGAACCAGGTTGCTGAGCAGAATCGAGGAGCGGAATGACATCACGCTGGAGCAGATGTAGGACGAATGTCAACGGCTTCTGAACCTCAGGCACGATACGGCGATGATAGAGGCAGCGTCTTCGTCGACAGCAGTGCAAGCATTGAAGCTGAAGCAGTTCGGTGGGAAGCATTCCCGCTCAGGACGTGGATCACCAGGTTCAAGATCCCCGAATCAGCGAGGTGCCGTTCCAGCAACGCCTTGTTGGAACTGTGGCGCCATGCACTGTTCCAAGGACTGCCCCTTCCTCAAAAATCGGTGCAAGGAATGTGGGCAGGTGGGCCACAAAGACGGGTATTGCTCAAGCGCCAAAAAGGTGAAATCTCCAGGCAAGCGGTACTCGTCCAAGCCGATGGTAACCAGAAGCGTGCAGGTGAAGAACGTCCGGAAGCGTAGGAGATTTGTGAAAGCAGAAGTCAACGGCAGGCAGATCAGTCTCCAACTCGACACTGCGATCAGCTCCCTCCAAGCAGCTTTTCCAGCGGTGTTCAATGATGAACCAGGGTTGTGCTCGAAGGCCAAGGTGAAGTTCACGTTGAGGGAATGTAAATCCTCAGTGTTCCGACCGAAGAGACCAGTGGCTTACGCCATGTGCAGTACCGGCGATGCGGAGTTGGACCGGCTGGAACGTGCCAACATCATCACACCGGTCGATTTCTCGGAGTGGGCAGCTCCAATCGTCGTTGTTCGTAAGGCAAGTGGTGCAATCCGTATCTGCGGTGACTACTCCACGGGCCTCAACGATGCTCTGCAGCCGCATCAGTACCCACTTCCTCTACCGCAGGACATCTTCGCTAGGCTGGCGAACTGCAAGGTCTTCAGTCAAATCGACCTTTCAGATGCGTTCTTGCAGGTGGAGGTGGATGAAAGCTGTCGAGAGTTGCTCACCATCAACACACATCGAGGTCTCTATCGGTACAATCGGCTTCCACCGGGAGTTAAGGCAGCACCCGGAGCGTTTCAGCAGCTTGTGGACACAATGCTCCCTGGACTCAACTGCACTTCGGGGTATCTCGATGATGTTCTAGTCGGCGGAGTCGACGAAGCGGACCATTGGCGCAACCTTCAAGCCGTCCTTCGTCGAATTCAGGAGTTCGGATTCACCATCAAAGCGGAAAAGTGCTCGTTTGGCCAGCGTCAAATCAAGTATCTGGGACACCTTATCGACGGGCAAGGTCTGCGTCCGGATCCAGCGAAAGTTGAATCTATCTGCAACATGCCAGCACCGACAGACGTTTCTGGAGTTCGATCGTTTCTGGGAACGATCAATTACTACGGGAAATTCGTCCCGAGTATGCGTACGTTGCGATATCCGCTGGATGAGCTTCTCAAAGCCGACAAGAAGTTCGTTTGGTCAGTGGAATGCGACAAGGCCTTCTCCACCTTCAAGCAGATTCTCACTTCAGATTTGCTTCTGACGCACTACAACCCGCAACGCGAGATAGTGGTAGCAGCGGATGGGTCATTGGTTGGAGTTGTTGCGACCATTAGCCACAAGTTTCCAGACGGGTCGATTAAGGTCGTGCAGCACGCTTCTAGAGCACTGACAGCCGCCGAGCAAGCCTACAGTCAGCCAGACCGTGAGGGGCTCGCGATTATCTTCGTTGTGACCAAGTTCCACAAGATGCTGTTTGGTCAGAGCTTCACACTACAAACTGATCATGCTCCACTTCTTCGGATCTTCGGGTCGAAAAATGGCATCCCAGTCTATACGGCGAACCGGCTACAACGTTGGGCTTTACAGTTGCTGCTCTACGACTTCAACATTGTTTACGTAAACACAACAAAATTCGATCGATCAACACGTCAAACCAGAGGAAGACTTCGTCGTAGCCAGCATCATCACGGAGAATGATGTAAGATCCATTGCATTAGATGCAGTTAACGCACTTCCTCTCAGTTTCAGGGCAATACAGCACGCCACCCGTTTCGACCCTGTACTTAGCAAGGTCTACCGCTTCGTCCAGCAAGGTTGGCCACAGTTAAAAACGGCAATTTCGGACCGTGAGATCCAGCAATTCTTCAACCGAAGTGATTCGCTATCTACGGTTCAAGGGTGCGTGATGTTTGCTGAACGTTTAGTGATTCCGACCGATTTCCGGATGCGTTGCCTACACCATCTCCATCGTGGTCATCCGGGTATCCAGCGCATGAAAGCGATTGCGCGCAGCTTCGTTTACTGGCCGTCTATCGACTCGGATATCGCTGCGCATGTGAAAGCGTGCCGTCACTGTGCAGTTGCAGCCAAGAGTCCACCCAAAGCACCGCCACTGTCGTGGCCCAAGTCAACGTATCCATGGCAGCGCGTCCACATCGACTACGCTGGGCCTATCGAAGGAGAGTACTTCCTGCTTAGCGTCGATTCGTACTCGAAATGGGTGGAAATCGTCAGAACCAAGTCGATAACAGCCACTGCAACCATCGGAATCCTACGAAGTCTCTTCGTTCGCCTTGGTATGCCAGAAACGCTAGTCAGCGACAACGGTACGCAGTTCACCAGTGCCGAGTTCGCACAATTCTGCCTCGAGAACGGTATCGATCACGTGACAACTGCGCCGTTTCATCCGCAGTCCAACGGCCAAGCTGAGCGTTTCGTGGACACCTTCAAGCGAGCGGTCAAAAAGATTCGAGAGGGGAGAAGATCAATTCAGGAAGCACTGGATACTTTTCTGTTGACCTACCGAACCACACCAAACCTGTCAGCACCACAAAGCCGATCTCCGTCCGAAGTAATGTTTGGGCGTAGAATTAGGACCAATCTGGACCAGGGCATCTGATCGTTCCTTTTTTCTAGCAAACGGCAGCAGCAGTATGAATTCAATTTCACCACTCCCTTATGTGCAGTACTTTATATACCATTCAATACCCCCACACTAAGCTTTGCATTCATACATACCGATGCACAGTAAAGCGAATAGATACCAAAAAGCATTCCCACTTTCTCTTCTTCAAAATCCTCTCCCGTACAGTCGCTCCCTTTCGCTCTGGTTTCATTCCCATTGACGAGTGCACGGATGGATTTGAGTTCACTCACTCGACAAAAAGTGACACAACAGCGGGGCCCTGTTTACTAAAAATGAACACATGAATAATACTCACGTAACATTTGAAACGGGTCTATCAACTTATGTACACAAAACTTGTTAAGCCTTTTTCGCGCGAACCGAATACGCTCACGTAAACTAACAACACCATCGTGCAGAGGAAATGCTCCCCTTCCCGATAGTGCTCTTTGTTTGCGTGGGCGTACTTTGGTTCTCGTGAAAAGGACCTAGCAAATTATTTACAAAAGTTGATAGGCCCTTTTGAAATGTTACGCGAGCATTATTCATGTGTTCATTTTCAGTAAACAGGGCCCCGCTGTTGTGTCACTTTTTGTCGAGTGAGTGAACTCAAATCCATCCGTGCACTCGTCAATTTTGATTTCATTCGGGTTCCTTTTTTCGTTTTGGGTTGGGAATGTCCGAAAAAACAGTCAATGAACGGGATTCATGGAGCAAAGTGGTTGGTGTGTTTGATGCTAAAAAATAATATATTGGTTTGAAAGAACAATGTTTGGTTTTTGAATAACAACATTCAAGAATCAATATGATTTTTTTTTTCAGAACGAGAGTATTTGAATGAATCTATAGTGCCTTTTCATATAGGATTGTTTAATATATTTTTTTTATTAAATTGTCAACCTATTAACTTCTACCTTTTAGAAATTCATCATAAATACATTTGCACGGATTTCAGACCTTGCACTCAGCATGCCACGTTTACTGAGCCAGCTGTTCAACAGGATGAACTGGACAGTTTTTTAGCGGACATGTTTGGAGGCTGTCTGCAGGTTCAAGCGGAGACCCGCAATGTATCCCAAACAATACGCTTCCAGAACATATTGTATTGTATATTGTATGGTATTTGACGAGTATTCATAGTGTTCTAGCATATCGGAGGTCACTATCTTGGATTTCAAAATGGCATCGAACATTCCGCACATTTCTGGCATCTACATTCCGCACCAGTTCCGGAAATACCCATATTGCATAATGTTTGACGAGTTTTCACAGTTTTATAGCAACCATAGGTCGCCATCTTGGATTCCAAAATGGCATCGAACTTCCATTTCCTGCATCTACATGTCACACCGGTTCCAAAAATACTCATATTGTGTGGTATTTGACAAGTTTAATAGTTTGCCTAATCGTGCGGGAGTCCTTCATTTACGCGAAATCCACGTCGCGGATCGCTGTTTTCCAACGTATCATACGTATACATATATTCCAAGTGCTGCTATCTCACACTGGAAAGGAAAATAATGTGCACTCAAAGATAAATTAAATCAAAAAAGCTTAAAAAGTATGCAGATTCCCGCGTCACCTTATTGAGTCAGAGCCATGATTACTTCGGCAGTAGTCATGCATGATTAAAATCGAAATAATCTTTCCAGTATTAAATTTTATTCTTTTTCAATACTGATATATAATCAAAAAAGATTAAAATTAAATCAAAAATTATTAAAATAGAATCAAAAATGATTAAACTTTATTCAAAAAAAAAGATAATCTACAATCTAATAAACCATGATTAAACTGGGATTAATATCAGATGCTTATTTTTTAGAAAGAGAGGATTAATTTTTAATCATTCGATATGATTAAACTGAGCTTAATGTCAAATTGATTGAATTTCAACCAAAATGGGAATAGTTTAATTTATCAGTGTGTGTGCGAAATGCTTCCGTGCGGTAGCCGATTGGCAAATCAAAGTTGGCACTTGTGGAGAATAGAAGAACTATGAAAGTGATGATTTTGCAAATGGAGCAAATGGAGCATTTTATTTAAATCTGCTTTCTGCTACAGTGGTAGAAAAGCTGAAATCTATGTCTACACATAAAAATCTGAAAAGGAAATTATTTTTTCTATAGTATATGTCTTGTGAGTAGTCCTTTAGTTTTCTACTAACGTAACACTAACCAGATTTAAATAAAATGCTCAATTTGCAAAATAATAGCATTTTAAGATTGCACTCGTATACCTCACCGTGTAAAATTTGGAAACCATCATCACTCTCATGGTTCTTCTATTCTCCACGAGTGCCAACTTTGATTTGCCAATAGGTAATCCGTCTGAATTTTCAGCTCCCGCAGTTGGCAATCAACTTGACCAGAGCAGAAGGAATGAATTTAAAAATCGGCATCTGCAAAGCAACTGCACAAAGCACAATGTAGCGTAGAAATGAAATCTGACTGTTTTAGATCCCATTCAGTGCGACTGTTTTTTCATCAGGTTCAGTGAATGCCGATCACTGCGAATGATGAATGCGGAAAATGTACAAGTTCATGCAGTCACAGGCAGAATGCGTTCCCTCTTCAAGCCCTGGTCTGGACTTATTCCGTCCACCAGCCGTTCGGGAAACGACTTCTCAACCAGATTCAAGGTTGTTCAGTAAAGGTGATCTAGTATACGCCAAGGTGCACTCTAACAATTCGTGGAGATGGGCATCAGGAGTGATTCTGGAGCGAGTGGGACAGGTGATGTTCAACGTGTGGGTTGAAGACAGGCGCATGATTCGGTCGCACATCAACCAGCTGCGAAGCCGAACGAACGCCGACAGTAAGTCAACGTCTGGCTCGTTGCCTCTGGACATCTTACTACGAGCCTGGAACCTGCACAAGCCAACCCAGCCACAACCACCAGGTCCATCCACATCACCGAGACCATCACCGTCTCCGGTTGCACAAACGCCATCAACACACGAAACGCCGGCTGAGCATTCGACGCTACAGCAAGTCTTGTCATCCACGCCAGCTTCTCCGAGCCTAGTTTGGGTTACTCCGGAATCGACAACTTCGTCGACAACAGACCTTGGTCAGCCGTCGTCTACGTCCGTAGTCCCATTGTCCTCTACAACAAGCCCTGTGCCACTTACATCAGCAGAAACCGAAACAGCTATCCAGGTACCTCGCCACTCTTCACGTCTACGAAGACCGCCGATTAGGTTCGACCCGTACCAGCTGTATTAAGAGGGGAGATGTTGGGAACATGGACATTAGAGTGATGCAAAATTTGAAATTTTCGCTCCATAGTACTTAAACGATTCCAAATTGGATCCTGATTAACCTCTCAAAATTTGAACCCATTTGGTGAGAAACTGAGATGGCACAAACCATTTGAAGTTTGTATGGGAATTACTATGGTAAAACCAAGATTTTTGTTCATGTCTATCTAATAATTCACCATATCGGTCTGCTTTAAAAGCTTTCAACTTTACTTGTAGGAAATTTTCCCTGCTACAAGTTTGCTGAAGACCACTTTTTGATTAATTACAAGGATCGAAAGTTATTAATGGTTCAATGCACTGATGTCTTATGATCATGCTCAATCAACTGTTCAGCAGGCAACATTGGTGTTTCTGGAGCGTTGAATAGGACACAAAAATTATGGCTACTATGTCACACTGCAAAATACAGTGTTGCCTAGAGAGCAGCTGCTTGATCATGTCATAAGTTTACCAATCTCTTAAATAATTAATAACTATGTCCTGTCTCGTTTTACATAGTATCGATCTTCAGCAAAGTTGTAGCTGAAAAATTTCGCAGCTCAATTTGGAAAATAACTAGAAGGCAATGAACAAAAAATTGAGATTTCCCATAGTAATTAACATGTAAACTTCAAATGGTTTGTGCGAAGTCTGTTTCTAACCAAATGAGTTGTAAATTTTGGAGGTGAATCACGACCCGATTTGAAACCATTTAAGCACTGTGGAGCGAAAAAGTCAAATTTTGCATCAGTCTAATGGACATCCCTAACGATCGCTACCAACACCAACACTGCTGAGCTCACTGGTAGCACTAGAATCTCCACTAATTGTATGTACTGCTTGGAAGCCTCACCCAAGCTAAGAATTATTTCCAAATAAGGCAAACTCTTGTGGAATAATTCTGCCATTTCCATCTCGCTAAACTTCTCTATATATCACTGATGCGAAAAATTTCGCTGCCCGCTTCTGATCCACCCTGAAAAGTCGATACAGCAGCGCCGTTGAGTTATCGAACACATCGTTGTAGATCCCTACTGCTTCCGCCCGGATCGCCAACTCGTTTGTTTGTTTGTTTGTTTATTAAGGACATTTTACATCTCCGCGATGCATTCATGTCCGTTCGATTTGATGTTTGGTGTATTGTGTATGGTGTGCAAGTGTTTTTGTTAGTGTAAGTGCTACAATTCAGTTGCTTCTCTCTTCTTTTCTTCTTTGCTTTCAAACAATTACTTTTCTCCTTCGCTTCACTTCATACTACTCTCCTACTTCGCTTTTCTTCACGAATTTCTTCATCTTTCTACCATGACCTGTGTAATTTGTTATTCTACAGTTCTTTTAATTTGTTATTCTAGTCTTCTACTTCGTGTTGCTTAATATTTCTTTCACCTGTGCAATTTGTTATTCTAAAGTTCTTGTAATTTGTTATTCTAGAGTTTTTTGTACAAATCCGTTTCATGTAGGAAATTAAGCATTCGTGTTGTTCTTTCTTCCGTGTTGTCCAGAGCTTCACGTAGACTGGTGCTGATGTCATTTTTCCTTCTCTCTTCGTCGTATTTCCTGCACTCAAGAATGATGTGCTTTACATCCAACACCGTGCCACAACATTCACACACCGGTGGGGCTTCCTTCTTCAGAAGAAACGTGTGGGTTAGTCGCGTATGGCCGATTCTCAGACGTGTAAGCATACGCTGGTCGGCTGAACTTCCTCGTTCTGTCCATCTGTGCGTGTCGAATTTCACCTCCCTCAGCTTCGATTCTGTTGTGCTAAACCACTGCCTATTCCACTGA